GAGAACGGGCCTTCTCGGTGGTGGCCCCCCGGCTGTGGAACTCCCTCCCTGCTGCAATCAGACAGGCGCCTTCCCTCATGGCCTTCCGTAGGGGCCTGAAGACCTGGCTCTTCGAAAAGGCCTTCAATTAAGAGCTTTGCTTTCCTGGAATGACCACCGGAATGAACTATGACTACGAGATTGATTATGATTCAAACAAGACGAAGCGGATTTTTAGCTTAATTAGCTGCGTGTTAGTAAGATGTATGTTATAGTCTTAATTCTATTGTAATTGTTGTCTTTATGTTCTGTACACCGCCACGAGTCGCCCTTGGGCTGAGAGTGGCGGTTAACAAGTGCAAATAATAAATAAATAAATAAATAATAAATAATACTAAGAAAACTATTTCTTGATTTAAGCCGTTGACGTGCTGGCTGATACCCAAAGAGTACCAGTGAGAACCAGTGTGGTGAGGTGGTTTGAGCTTTGGACTTAGATTCTAGGAGACACTGGTTTGAATCCCTGTTTGGCTTTGAAAACCCACTGGGTGACCTCTTAGCCTCAGAAGAACAATCTGGATAAGTCATACTCTCTTGGTCAGCCTGAACAAATCTTGCTAAGAAACTCTGTAATAGTGTTGTTTTAGGGTTGTCATAAGTCAGAAATTATTTGAAAGTGTTTAGCATCAATCACATGGATACAATACAGTCAACAAGAGTAGATTCCTACTCTTTCTGAACTTAAGCATTGTTTACTACACACACGTATTCTGCATCAAAAACCTTTGTTCCTTGAGTCCCCCTTCACAATTTTCCCAGTGTCAGTACTACATAGCCATCTAAACAGAGGAAAAGTAGAGCTAGGCACTTGCGAAGCTCTACTACTATCAGAAACCTTATTAATTGAACTATGTCTGGATTGTTTTAAGTATTGCCAACTTAGCATTGTTTATGTGTCGCCTTACAACTAGGGACCAGTTGCTTGACACACCTATATCATCTCATACAACTCCTTGAAGGCTTCTGACATGGCTCACAATTTGAATCTTTGTAAAACCTATTTTACTCTGCCATCTTGCCAATCTTGTAACTCCCAAATACCTGTGGTTGTACTTCCATCTCCATTGATCCCCCTGGATGCTAAATTACAGTAAATTAGCCTCAAAAGATGTTGCTTGATACCATCATTCCCCTTCCCCTAGTCCAGTGGTTCTCAGCCTGTGGGTCACAGATGTTTTGGTCTTCAACTCCCAAAAATCCTAACAGCTGGTAAATTGGCTG